TGGGGGCGTCGGGGCCGGCCGGAGGGGTGGGGACACAGGCAGGGAACGAAGACTTGGGGGGGGGGCTCCTTAGGGGACCATCAAGATGTGGGAGGGGAGAGGAGATAGGAGTTAACACAGACAGGGAGGGACCGGGGTAAGGGCGTGCGCCCTGTGGCCAAGGGTCGTCCCTCCCATATGGGGTGGCGCGGTGCTGGGCAACGGAATGGGGGCTAGGGATGGGAGAGCCAACGAGGAAGGGCGTCAAGGTAGCTTGTGCGTTCCGGGATGGGTGGGTGGGGGACCAGCAAGGCACGGAGTGGGCAGGACCACCAAGCTCCCCTCGCCTCTCCAGGGTCTGGACAGGCGCGGAAGTAGAGGTTGCCACGTGCGTGGGGAAGAGAGGGGAAAAGGAGAGTAAGGCCTTCAGACGTGGGCGGTGCAGATAGTGGCCATGCAGGGGTGGGTGCTGCCGTCTTCCCTTCATGCCTTCACTCATTCCTTCAACGACCCACTCCCCAGGCTACTCATCCACTGGTGGATTCATTTAAGCACCTGTTCATGTGTTCATCAGCGTCCGCACCTTAGTTCACTCAGGCCTACAGCCACCCACTGTTTTATTTATTTATTTTCTTGGAGAGGTTTTTGCTAAAGGGCACATGCGCTCACCAGAAAGACAGAGACAGACAGAGAGACAGAAAGCGAGAAATCACCCCCTGGGGGGATGGCCACGTGGCAATCCCTTCTCCTCCATTCTCCTCTCAGGATCTTGGGCATACACATACAAGCGCCCGGCGTGAGTTGAAGCCACCAGGTCCAGGACTTGAACCATGGTCAACTACATGGGAATCCAGCAACGCCAACTTGTTTTTTTTTTTTTTTTTAATTGGCTAGAGAGTCCATGCACTCATCTGAGAGAGGGACCAGGGAGAGGTGAGAAGCTGCCCGCAGGCCCCCATGGGGGATGGTCATGCCATAACCCCTTCTCCATTCTCCTCTTGAGATTTTTGGGGCATACACACCTGTGTCCAGTGTGTTTTTCAAACTGTTGGGTCGGGGACTCAAAGCATGCGGTCGGTCATGTGGAATCCAGCTGCCTTCACCACCCCGCTGCCAGCCGGCCCTCGCTCTGCTTTATTCATACCTGCACACCTCCTCCGGCCTTAGCTCACTCCGTCGCGACTACTGTATCCAAAAGCACGCAGCCCTGCTTGCGTCCTCTCTCCTTCCCTGCTCCGTGTTCCCACCTGATCCACTTTATCCTTTCTGGGTATCTTGTCCCCTCCTGCTCGACTGTAATAGTCCCAGGGGGACTGGGCTTTATTTACTGCAACATCCCAGCTCAGAACATATTTGCTGAGTGAATGAATTCATGTTCACACTTCGATCCATTTTGGGTTCCAGCGTGAGTTTTAAGTCACCAGGTCCGGGACTTGAACTGCCTTTGGCCATGTGAGAGTCTAGTGCCTCATTCTTTTATCTCTTCACACCTCGTGCTCCTCGCTGCATCAGTTCCTTCCATCATCCACTGATTTGCCTTTTCATTTGTCTGTCTGTTCATTTGTTCCTTCCTTCCCTAAACATTTGCTGGGGGCCAGTAGATGGTCAAGGTGCTGGACTCCCATGTGGCTGACCGCAGCTTAAGTCCCAGACCCCAGTGGCTGGAAACTCACACTGGGCGCTTGGGTGTGCATGCCCAAAATCCCAAGAGGAGAATGGAGGAGAAGGAACTGCGGCATGGCCATCCCCCCTGGGGGGTGATTTCTTGCTGTCTGTCTGTCTCTCTGTGTCTCTGACAAGCACACACACCTTATAGCAAAATTCTCTCAGAAAAAAACAAACAAACAAACAAACAAAAAAACATGGGACCAGCAGTTAGCATAATGGCTACAGCACTGGACTCCCATGTAGTCGACTGCAGTTCGAGTCCCAGACCCAGTGGCTTAAACTCACACCAGGTGCATGTGTATGCGTGCCCAAGATCCCGAGAGGAGAATGGAGGAGAAGGAATTGTGGCGTGGCCATCCCCCTTGTGTGTGGGAGGTGATTTCTCGCTTTCTGTCTCTCTGTCTCTGCCTTTCTGGTGAGCACACGCACCCTATAGCAAAAAACCTCTCCAAAAAACAAACCTTCAAATAAACAAACAAAATACTAGCTGACCGTCTTCTCTTCAGAGGGCTCCATGCTGAGCGCTCACGCAGACCCAGGAATCACTGCATGACAACCTGGCTGGGGGGTAATAATGAAAGCCCCCATCTCACAGAGGAGGACTAAATCCCAACCAGGACTCCATGTTAGCCAGAGTGCTAGGTACTCCTTAAGAGCAAGGCTCCATGGGAAACTTGGGGTTCACCAGCGCTAACCCCAAGTCCAGGCTGCAGGGCTTCCCTGAGCCTCTGGGAAACTCGGGGTTCACCAGCGCTAACCCCAAGTCCAGGCTGCAGGGCTTCCCCAAGCCTCTGGCCTGCTGCGTAGAGACTGGCAGGGTCCTTCTGGCACACCTGCAGAGAGACTGCACACCCGACTGCTCCTCGACTGTGGGAAAGTCCCTTAGGCCTCCCTGGGCCTCGGTGGCTCCGAGTCAAAGAAGGGGATGCTGTTAATCCATTGCCATCCCCCCCTCATGCAGAGCTGTGCGGAGGAGGCAGTGAGAACGCCCAGGAGCGGAGGGTCTGGGGGAGGTGGAGCTCCAGGGCTGGGACGCAGACAGATCTGATTTCCAGCTCTAATTTTTGCAGCTCTGTGACTATGTCAGGTGTTTCAGCCTCAGTTTTTTCATCTCGAAAATGGGTTTGAAATAGCCAGACCCATGGCCTAGTTAGTGGTTAAGGGAGCTGAACCCCTGCCCTGGCGGCTTGAAAAACACAGGGCATCTATGTGTGCATGCATGCCCCAAATCCTGACCGGATGGAGAAGGGGTCTCCCCATCGAGGGTGCTTTCCTCCCTCTCCCTCTCTCTGTCTCTCTCCAGAGAGCAAGATTTAAAAAAAAATGGCCATGATGGGGCCAGCAGGTGGACAGTGGTGAAGGCTCTGAATCCCCACATAGCTGACTAGCAGCTTGAAACTCAAAACTCTAAATCCCGAGGAGAATGGAGGAGAAGGGATTGCGGTGTGGCCATCTCCCCTGGGGGGTGATTTCTCACTTTCTCTCTCTCTGTCTCTCTCTGTGTCCCCCCATGAACACATGCGCCCTGTAGCAAAAAAAATCTTTCCCAAAACAAAACAAAACAAAAATAGGCATGCCAGACCTTCCCGTGGGATTAAGAGGATCAGTCAGGATTAAGCTGCCCCCACTCTGATGACTCCCAAATCTGTCATCGTCAGAGGATCTTCTACTCCTGGGAGCCAGGCTCAGGGGGGCGGGGGGGGGTCCAGCTGCCTCCTTGACACTCTCCCTGGGAGGTCTAGCAGGTGCCTCGCACTCAGCTCAGACGACATGAATCCTGCTCTCCCCCAGCCTGAACCCGTTCCTCCCAGTCTTTCCCACTGCGATATCAGCAGCTCCATTCTTCAAGCTGCTTGGACTCAGCCCCTCAAACCCCACCAACCTCAACTCCTCCCTGCTCCTCCCCCACACTCCACTCCATGGGTAAGCTGTCGGTGGCCCCAGGAACCCCTCTTTCAGATACACTCCACAGCTGATCACATCCCTCCACGGCACTCACGCCATCGTCTCTCTCCTGCTTGGACCATTGCAGTAGACTCATGACTGGGCTCTGATACTGCCCTTGCCCGCTGTTACCTAGTCCCCGCCCGGCAGCCAGAAGGTCTTGTTCAACGCAAACCAGGTCACATCCGTCCCCTGCTCAAATCCTCCATGGCGTCTGCTCACGTGGAGTAAAAGCCAACGTCCTCACCAAGACCTAGAAAAGCCCACACCGCCTCCCCGCCTCCTTTCCTCTCGGGTTTATTACCTACCTCTGCCCTCACTTGGTCTGCTCCAGCCACTCTGGCCTCCTCACTGCCCCTCTGACACCCCTGGCACATTCCGCCCATGGGGCCTTTGCAGTCACTGTTCCCTCTGCCCAGCCGTGCCCAGGTAATCTCATAGTTTATTTCATTCTTTCTCTGTCTTTTAATATTTTTTTATTTATTTATTTTTTTGAGAGTTTTGTTTTGTTTTTGGAGAGGTTTTTGCTATAGGGTGCATGTGCTTGCTAGAGAGACAGAGAGTGAGAAATCACCCCCTGGGGGGATGGCCACACCGCAATCCCTTCTCTATTCTCCTCTTGGGATCTTGGGCACACATGCACACATGCCCGGTGTGAGTTTAAGCCACCAGGTCTGGGACTTGAACTGTGGTAGACTACATGGGAGTCCAGTGACATGGCCATTACACCAATTGCTAGTCCCATTTTGAGAGAGATTTTTGCTATAGGGCGTGTGTGTTCGCTGGAGTGACTGAGAGACAGAGAGACAGAAAGCGAGAAATCACCCCCCAGGGGGGATGGCCATGTCGCAATCCCTTCTCCTCCATTCTCCTCTCGGGATCTTGGGCATGCATGCACACGTGCCTGGTGTGAGTTTTAAGCCACCGGGTCCGGGACTTGAACTGTGGCTAA